TGTAAGGGGTCTAAGCTGCATTAAATATATGTATGAACTCCTTTAAACTTAATTACTTATCATATCTCTCAGTTTGAATGCGTGATCTGATTGGTCGATTTAAGCACCGATCAACTCAAAACTTCAACATTTCTTCCCTCGCAACCCAACAGGCAAGTGTCCTTTTGAGCATCGGTTCGTTCAAATTCCCGACCCACTCTGGGCTAATCAACGGGCGCTGAATTTCAAAAGTACTGTTTCGCGTTTTTTCATTGCTAACGAAGAAGGAATGTTTTGCTGTTGTATTCAAGTGGAAACTGGCTGCTTATCTTGATGTAAGTAATCAAAACAATTGTATCCAAAAACACGGAAAGTTTTCCAAATTTTTTTTGCGACAGAATTCGAAAGCACCTGAGAAATTATATTAAAACAATCATTTACCTGTGGCTCATTAGATCTTTTTGAGTAATTCCCTCGACTCGGTCTTCGGGATTTCCAAATTTATTCACTTCGCCTTCGGCGAAATCATAATTGGTAGAACGTTTCATTGAGCCTGACTCGTCTTCAGTGGTGCCTTACTTTTCATAAATGGTGGTGGGGTCGCAGGAGACTAGCACCTCCATGACGAAAAGGACGATGGGAAATTTTTCAAAGGAAGGGTACACTTCTCACGCGTTCACCTCATTAATATTTCATAGTGGAGGAAACACTGAGGACGAGTAGGTTTGAGAGAACGCCCACATAATTTGTGATTAACTTATATCTTCAGTAATGAAATCAGCGTCATTTCGAAGAGGACAGCCATTCAGTCAAGTATCGATGCCTTGCTGTACATTGCAACCCCATTAGCTACTCTGGTGTCAGTGATTACTATGGTGCTCACAGGCCAGACCCTCACACCCGCTAATATTTTTATGCTGCTGTCGTTTATGGGTGTTCTAAAACTTACTGGCCTGTTGAATTTGACAAATGGTTTTATGAGAACATATGATGCATACGTTTCACTTGAAAGAATCGAAGAATTCCTTCTTTTAGAAAATTTATCGGGAGCCTCGGAGAGTGGTGAAAATAAGGAACACCAACAAAAGGCCGAGAGTACCTCCACTAAACAAAGTAGCGGATACTCAAAAAAAGAAGCCGAAAATATGAAGAACAATTCACCCTCTTGTGAAGTAACAGAACTAGGGCCAACTGATCTATGTGTGTCAAAGTTAACCTGCCCAAAAAGCCATCGTGAAAATGAATTTATTCTTCAAGATATCAACTTTGTTGCACGTTCAAAGAGTTTAACAGTAATTACCGGGCCGGTCGGAAGTGGTAAGTCTACTCTACTCTCAGCGATCTCTGGTGAAATTTCCAACACTAGTGGCACGATTTTGTATCGAGGCAATGTCATTTACATGCCTCAGACTGCTTGGGTGTTCTCGGGAACAATAAAAGAAAACATTCTATTTGGCCAGCCCTACGCGGAGTCCAAGTACGAAAGAATAATCGACGTCTGTGCTCTGAAAGACGACTTTCAGCGGTTACCAGATGGTGACCAAACAGTTGTTGGAGAACGCGGCGAGGTTCTGAGTGGAGGACAACAGGCAAGAGTAAGTTTAGCTCGTGCAGTTTATGCTGAGGGAGATTTTTATCTGTTGGATGACCCACTAAGTGCTGTCGATTTTAAAGTTGGGCAACACATCTTCAACAAGTGCATCAAAAATCTACTGGCTGATAAAACTGTTCTGTTAACCTCTCATCAGCAACAGCACATGGAAAATGCCGATGNAGTTATGACCTACACCAAACTCGACGGGGAGCCTGGATACGGGGAAGAACGACAACCCCCAAAAGACTGGCCTCAGAGAGGAAGTATTATATTCAGAGATGTATCTCTGACTTACTATCCGGGGGGACCTCAAGTGCTGAAGCAAATCAATCTTAGCATTAAAGGGGGAGAAAAGATCGGAGTTGCTGGCCGCACGGGAGCTGGGAAGTCATCTTTTGTGGCAGCTCTTATGCGCATGCCTGATGCTGATGGAGATATAATCATTGACGATGTTCCAGTTAACGAGATAAGCCTTCAACAAGCCCGACGAGGTATCTCGGTTCTTGGCCAAAGCCCCGTTCTTTTTAGTGGATCGTTGAGAAAAAATCTCGACATCTTGAACAAGTTTCACGAAGCTGAATTATGGCAGGCTTTGGAGGATGTGCAACTGAAAGATTTTGTTGAGAGACTTGAGGCCAAGCTCGATCACGAACTACTGGAACATGGCGCTAATATCAGTGTCGGAGAGCGGCAGTTAATTTGCTTGGCTCGTGTGCTGCTACAACGAAGTAAAATAGTCGTCTTGGACGAGCCAACTGCGCATGTAGACCCAAACACAGAGCAGACGATATGGAATGTAGTGCGAGATAAACTGAAGGAGTCAACTGTCATCACTATAGCTCATCGTTTGAACACGATAAGAGACTGCCACAAGATTTTGCTGTTGAAAGATGGAAAAGTTGATGGTTTTGACAAATTTGATTCAATGGTAAAAAGTAACTGAGATGCGCTCTAAGGCGAAAGACCTCAATTGACAAGTCACATCTGATCCTGAAGAGGTCAAAAGATTGAAAGTTTAAAGAGCTTGCAGAGCTCTAATTCTGCACGTTATGTAAAAGAATAAAATTTTCTGCTTGTTGTTCGGTTTTTGTTCCTGTAGAGTATTCATAGGTCAAGTGAACGCTCTCATTCCTCTAATTCAACTGTACTTTATTCAATGATCAAGACAATATATTTCCAGTACAACACTAGTCATCAGTTATTTTATTTTTACTTAGGATAGTAGATTTACGGCATGATTGGAAGTTACTTAAAGTGGTAACGCTATATTACCATATGTAACGCAATACACCACAGCATCGTGTTTCTAGGTGTCACGCAAAATCCATTTATCCGTGAGTCTGTTCAGTAATTGATCACAGATAAAGTCATTATATGGTAAGAAGAAAAAATGCGGCACACTAAAATCACTGCTCTCTTACCATTCTTTGACGCCCTCTGTGATGTTTTATTGAACTTACCCACCGTGACGTAGAATCTGTTTGCTTTATATTGTGACGATAGGTTTTCGGCTACAACTGAGCTCTCACAGGACGGGCAACAGCAACGGGGGAGAACTCGCTCGGTAGAGACAACTTAGTAATGTGGACGGAAACTCGTCAGATTTCCTGGTACACGGAGATCTACTTCAAGCGAGCTTGTACGAACGTCAAAGACTGACACAGCGTTTGGTTCCGCAATAGTTGATTATTCGATCATAGCACCAACCGACATGACCTCTAGCATGCACAACTTCGAAATAGAATGTGTAATCGCAGGATGTAATCGTGGGATGTAATCGAAAAGATTTTTGAAAAGGAGTGGAGGGGGGTGTCCACGACCAGAGAGTAACAGTTTGTCATATCAAAATTCACGTCGGGTATAGAGTTAATCTTCTCGGTTGAGCAGAAAGAATGAAAGGAGATACAGACCTACGAGACAACTGCATAGATGAGATAAATTTCCCCGGATTGAAAGGTTCGGCTGACAGGTAGCAGGAAGATTACACAACCATTCCCTTCTCGA